CACCGAGGAGCCCCGGGGGTCGGGGCGGTTTGCACGCTGGCCCCTGGCACGGCGCAGGAGGGCCCAGCCGTGCTCGGCGTGAGGTGCTCGGGGGCAGGACGCCGTTAGGGATGTAGGTGCACGGGTGGCTGGGATGTGCTCCGTGCCGGTGCGCGGCTGGCAGAGGTACACGCGTGTGCCATGGCCCGGGGACAATGCGGGCGTCCGTGTCCTGCTGGGACTCGGCACACGTTGTACGTGTGTTTGCTCTTTGTTAGATCCTCTTTGGGAAAGTCTGGGGGAGAAGATGCATCTTCTTGGAGGTCAAGTTCTTCCTGCCTTTGTCTTTGTCTCTTTGTTGCTAGTTCTTATTCTGAGTCTTTAACTGCAATATCTTAACTAAAGATTTGGAGTAGCGCTTTGTATGCGGGGGGTTTCACCGGCTCTCAGTAGTCTTAAGTCACAAAGGTAAAGTTTTGTGAAGTTCAATTAAAGTGAAAATTTCTCACATGGGGGCTATTCCTTTTAATATTTTAAAATGTTTTCTGCTAAATGCTTGAAGTTTGTTTTCCCATTCCATTTACATATGGTTATGAAACTACAGGCATATGAGTTTTATGAATGAAATTAACACTGGAAAGTTTGCACATGTAACTTTCACTTACAATCTCTTGTTTCTGTTTCATTTTAGTTTTTCTGGCTCTTCCTCAATGTGTGGCTCTTCTGGAAAACCTTCCTGCTCTATTATCAAGGGCTGCAGTATTATTATTTGCATCAGATGTTAGGGGTGAGTGACCCGGACATTACTTTTTGCCCTGGAAATTGGGATGCTGGGAGATGGGAAAGGGACAGAATGCATTTGCTAATCAAGGATGACACAAACTGCCTGTTAATGCTGCAAAGTGGGGAAAGATCAAGTAGGAATTTACTGGGGTACTGTTGACAGTTGTTTAAGAGTAGAAAGTGAACAGTGTTGAGAAGAGCCAGACAAGTGTGGGACAGCTATCCTCCCCCCTCCTCTCCTCCCCAGCTGCAGACAGGCTCACAGAAACACAAACATGCTCATCAGAGGTCTGCAGCTCAACTTTTTGCCATCAAAATGTTAGCCAAGCTTATGGGCTCGTGCTCTCAAATTCTTTCTAATCCAGTTACTGTGATACATATTTGCTGAAGGAATTCTTTTGATAAGTCTTAGTTCTTTTTGGTCTTTGTCATCCTCATAGATCCTCCGTTCTGTGTAAATCATTGTAATCTAAATGATTTTAGTTTTGTTTTCTAATAACAAATTCTTGGAATCTGAATGGTTTAATGAAGATTTGACTATTTTGATTTAGCAAAGGTAACATCCACCACCACCAGAAGAACCCAAAAAAGATAATTTGGGGAAGTGAGATACTGGTCTGTCCGGTGAAGTTATCCACAGCTACGCCATTGCAGTTGTTTGAAATGACTTCTGTCCAAAGGGATAGGTTAAGGGTTAACAACTTTCTGGAAAATGCTCTAGGGTTGCTCAGAATTTGAGAATCCGGGAAAAAGTGGATGCTTTGTAACACTATGTCATACTCAGGAATGGATTTCAATGGAAAGTTGACATGGGGTTAAAGCACAGATGATGCACATCCTAACCTGCTGTACAGCCTCTGGATTTTATCTTTGGTAGATCCAGGATATATTTTGTCATATGGTTGATATCATTGCCATAGCTAGCCAGTTCCATAAGCTTTTGTGAACTTGCTTGAAAGTAAGTTGACCTGTGTCGTGGTTTAACCTCAGCCAGCAACTGAGCACCACCCAGCCGCTCGCTCACTCTCCCCCCAGCCCCGTGGGATGGGGGAGAGAATTGGAAGAGTAGAAGTGAGAAAACTCGTGGGTTGAGATAAAAACAGTTTAATAATTGAAATAAAATAATAATAAAAATCATGAAAAGAATATGCAAAGCAAGTGATGCACAGTACAATTGCTCACCACCCACCGACGGATGCCCAGCCAGTCCCCGAGCAGCGGCCCCCCCCCGGCCAGCTTTCCCCAGTTTATGTACTGAGCATGACGTCCCATGGTATGGAATGTCCCTTTGGCCAGTTGGGGTCAGCTGTCCTGGCTGTGCCCCCTCCCAGCCTCTTGTGCACCTCCAGCCTTCTCAGTCGGTAGAGCACAGGACTCTTAATCCCAGGGTCATGGGTTCGAGCCCCACGAATAACCTGATATACTTTTCTACTTTTTTTCTTCTTATGGCTGACTCAGATGTGTTCAGGAAATGAATCTTAACAAAGGTAGTGCAAAAAGAAGGGAATGAAAATACTTAAATCCTTCATGATGATGACTTTCTTGACAGAAAAAGCATGAAAACATCGTTTAATTTTACCATAATCTCTAATGGCTTTGCAGCCCAGTGCATCCATTTGAAAACTGTTTGTTCCTGGCAGAGCAAGTGGGTTGTTTATAAAGCAAATGTTCTTGGGTCAACACGTTGGGCCAGATTGTCAGCTGGTATCAGTCAGCAAAGTTTCTCTCAATTCAGAAGACTCGTCTGCCTTCTACCAGCTCATCATCTGGTCTTTTTTTGGTTTTCTTATACTTCAGAATGAAAGGCATGTACAAAGTAATATAACGTGTGTTCAGAACCTGTGAGGTGATTCAAGCAACAGCTTCCTTGTCTTGGTCAGGAGATGAGGACCAGGAGGCCATGCGTTTGAGCTTGTCTAACTGTGTCTGCAACTGTGGGAAAAAATACCAAAGAATTTTAGCAACTTTCTAAAACGAGGAGGAAAGTGAAGAGCTAAGTCTAAAAGATACTTTTGGTCAAAGTTCTGAAACTAATGTAAACATTTTGAAAATGTTAAAGACTGTAAAACACTCTCGCAATTCACTTTTTAGAGTTTGTCTAAATATCATCCTTAGACCCCAAAGTTAGCTTTCTCTCTTCTCTTTAATATATTTGTGTATGCGTATAAATCATACAGATTACTTTGCAAGGGTTGGGAAAACTGAACCCACTTTTAGTCTCTCCGGGAAACAAAGTAAGCATATCCGTACTGCTGCTGTTATCTTCCATGGAGATTTTTGCTCCTCTTCTTTTTCTATGTTGGTTTGTGTAGCCACTGGCCCATGGCCCATCTGCATAACCAATCTCCTCTCTGTTCCTTACACGGGTGAGTGACTTGCAGTGCCTCTGTGTGGCGTTTCTTGATGCTCAAAAATTTTGAGATTTAGATGAAAATTCTTCATTTATAATTCAACAGTTGGTTTTTGTTTTGTCTTAACAGAATGAACTTTTTTACAGATACTTTCATGAAAATTGATTCCTTTTCCCAGCCAGTTAACAAAAAATGGCAAAAAGGAATGGCATTTTTTGAATAAAAAAAATACTTCTCTTGTTTTTCAGTGAGGTCTGCTAAGGAGGTTTTTCTCTCTTTGTATGCTACGATAGCCTAAAAGCTCCTTAAGAACTTCTGCGCTTGCAGTACTGAAAGATTTACCACAGGTAATTTTATCATTTACCAAGTAACAGGATGGAGAACAAGAAGAGTTGCTGTGGGAAATCATATTGTGATATGAAATGAGGTCTTGGACTGAATATCCTGAATATATTCAACTCTGCCATGTTTTCATGCCATGTCTCTTCTTTCTGATGTGAAGGAGAAAGAATGAGGTTAGTCTTTCATTCAGTGGTCACTGATGTGGTTCACTTTCCTTCAGCCTTCTACAGAAGAAGGAGGCTCAGTTTTATTCTTTTCCGATTGCATCCTCTGTCATATTGAACAAGATACTTACCACAGGATTTTAAAATTATTTAGGTACCTAACTCTCACTCAATCTTTCAATGACAATCTTTCTGATCCTTAACTCTATAGCTGTAAAAAGGCACTAAGAGCACAGTGGTGTCCTGGAAGTGCAAAGAGAGTAAGTCAGTCAAAGGCACTGATGTGCTAGGAGGAGGTTAATCAGCCTATTCTACACTACAAAATTTAGTGGGTAGATTTATGTTGTGTCAAATATCACCGCTTTGCTCAGTTTGAGTCCTGTTGATGAGACCACGAACTCGCCACTGTGGAATCTCCATCCTTGGAGGTTTTCAAAAACTAATTGGGCAAAACTGTGAGCAAACTTAGTCTGAGTTTGGTGCTGAACCTGCTTAGAGCAGGAGGTTGGAATAGAGACATCCTGAGGTCCCTTCCAACCAGAATAATTCTGTGATAATATGATTCTTGTGGTGTAAGTTTAACTAGAACCTAGTGGATGTAAACCCCTTCCCAGTACTTTTGCCTTGATGAACCATCCCTTTGGATACTTAATTGCTTGTAACACTGCAGATCATAGTCTTACTACATGAATGCATTCATTGCTGCTGGTTCAGGAACATGATTCAGATAAAGAATCTAAATTTTTCATAATTTAATAAAAGTTAACTTCTGGCCTTACATTGGTTAAAGAAGAGAAGCCTGGGAAACACCCAACAGGCATGGATTTCTTATAAAAGAGTGTGGCAAAGAGAAAAGGAATGTTCTCATCTTCATGTTCATGATAGATACTAGAAGATGTAGTAGGCATGAGTTACAGAAAGGAAGATTCATAAATTACTTGACATGACTCCAAAATCTTAATTGTTGGAGGTTTTGTGTCTGCTCAGTCAGAGAAATTGTCCAGATGATTAATTTCTTTGCAGACTTCAAGATTTCTCCCTTCAGATTAGCTTGGCTGTATTTTTTTCCAACAAATTTGCTTGCATTTGACCAACAAATTCAGTCCTAAATTCAGTCCTGGCCTTATTATAGAACTCAAAACTTACTTTTAACAGCATTAAATGAAATACCTGTTTCATGTTGCTTGAGTTCCCCATGAACAGAAAGAGCATTTGGCTCATTTTGTTGTGGCATAAAAGATCTCTCTTTCCCTATTCCCTCTCTAGTCCCTGCTCAAATAACTAATGTAGTCAAATGGATGTTGATGCAAGAGTACTTGTTGATGCTCAGGGTACTCGGCCCCCCGAGCTGGAAGACGGGGACAGCGAGCAGGATGAACCCCCCATAATCCAAGAGGAAGCAGTTAACAACCTGCTACGCCACCTGGACACTCACAAGTCTATGGGGCCGGATGGGATCCACCCGAGAGTGCTGAAGGAGCTGGCGGAGGAGCTCGCCAAGCCACTCCCCATCATTTATCAGCAGCCCTGGTTAACGGGGGAG